GTTAGAACTAAAGAAGTAAAGTTAGAACTAAAGAAGTAAAGTTAGAATTAAAGAAGTTGTTTTCTTCCTAACTGTAAGGACCTTTAGACATGAAGTGTATGCCGCAGGGACAAAGGTTATTTCATGATAGCTGTGTGCAGAAAACATTCCTGTTTGTCAGTTTGCATCATTCAGGATAAACTTTGTTCAGATTAATAAACAAATGTTGCCATGTAGAGTTCACAAAGTCCCGCTAAAAGTCTAACAAATAATTTCAGGACGTGTCTTTATTTAAACGAGTCTTGTTTATTTCCACATAAAGACACTAACTCTAAAAGAGTCACGAGTTGTTTTACTGGTACTGACTGGTCCAGCTGCTGGTTTTATTCCTCCATTTTGACGCAGAAACACAAACAGCCGAAACCGAGAAGAATCTCTTTGACTCGATCTGTTCACAAAATAAAAACCTCTGAGGAGTCTGGATTCAACATTTACTACTTTTACAGGGTTTATAAAGTGTCCGACCTTATTTCTAACACAAACATGAACGAGCTTAAAGCAGAAAACACGCACATTCTGCGCACTTACCATAACAGAGAAGAGTAGTTCGAAGAACCTCGGAAATTAGAGTTTCCAGGAGCAAGAAGTCCAGAAAATTCAAACAAACGAACAGAAACCTTCATATCGTGTTGAAACCTGAGAGCAGAGTCCTGGTTTGAAGGAGGAGCTCCACCCACACAAGTTCAGCTGTTACAACCTTTAGCTGTTATCTTAGCTGAATAAAATAAATATCCTATTTCTCTTTTGTTCAGATTTTAATTTTATATAAACTAAAACAGCTTTATGTCGCTGAATGTACAAAGACAGACTTTGAAACATCTTTTAACTTTTTATTTTTTATCACCTGAGAGCAGAACTAAAATACTGAACCAGTTCCTCCTATGAAATGTGCTGATCTGTAATCTGATTCTTCTTCTTCTTCTTCTTTGGTTTTTTAACGGCAGCTTGCATCCATCAATGTTGCACTACTGCCATCTCTTGGTGTTTATAAGTTAATTTCTTTCCTCAAATTCTCTTATTGAGTCCAGTATTATTTAAAAAACGAAATATCTTTCTTTTCCCCTCTTCACTATTCAGCTGCGAAGCCACATTTTCAAATTTTAGTTCCCTTTTACAACCTATTTCCATTCTCAATAATCTTCTTTGACCCACATATTTCCTGCAATTAATAAAAACATGTTCTATTGTTTCTGTGGTATTACACCAATCACATAAACCAGTAAGATGTTTCCCCATCTTAAAAAGAGTGCCATTCAAAAAACTATGCCCGGTTCTTATTCTATTTATAATTATCTCCTCCCTCCTATTTATTCCTCCGATTCTTTTAACATCAACTGTATTCTGTATCCTGTATAAATGTCTCCCTTTTGTCTCATTTTTCCAGCTCATTTCCCATAATTTCTTGCTTTCTTTCCAAACTATACTTTTTCCTTCAGACTTAGATAATTTTATTGACATATCAATATCTTCTTTTTTAACAGCTTCTTTAGCCAACCTATCTGCTCTTTCATTACCTAAAATACCTAAATGAGCAGGAGTCCACATAATTACTATAGTTTTGTTTTGTTCACAAAGTCTATGATGAACAAACAGAATCTCATACAAGATGTGTTGGTGATTACTTGAGGTTCCCTTTTCAATGCTTAATATTGCTGATAATGAATCACTGCAAACTATAATTTTACTTGTTCTACTATCCTCCACCCATTCTAAAGCCAATAATATAGCACATAATTCTACTGCATATATACTCAGAAAATTAGATGTTCTTTTCGAAAGCTTAATCTTTAATTCAGGAATCACTACTGCTACACTAGTTGCTTCAGTTTTTGGATCTTTTGAACCATCTGTATAGATTTGCAGGTAATCATTATATTTCTTCTCTACTCGATCATAAAATTCTTGACAAATATCTGTAGTTTTCCTTTTCTTAATATTTAATAATGATCTATCTACATTAACATATTTCCATGCCCATGTAGGCCTTAAGGGCCATAATACTGTTGAATTAAATTCTTTGTTATATACTTTAAATGTTCTTGCTAAATTATCCCCTATCCACCCAAAACTATTTTTAAGCTCCTTTCCTCTTTCCCAACAATTTTCTAACACTTTCTTAACTGGATGAGTTTCATTGTGTCCTTTCAAATTTATCCAATAATTAGCCATTAACTGCTGTCTTCTAATGCATAATGGCATTTCTCCTGATTCTACTTGTAGAGCACATACTGGAGTTGATTTTACTGCCCCTAAACAAATTCTCAGTGCTCTAGCTTGGATGACATCTAATTTATTTAGTCGAGTTTTAGCCGCTGATCCATACACCACACTCCCATAATCTATTCTTGACCGAATTAATGACACATAAATATGTTTAAGTGACTCAAATGTTGCACCCCATGTCAACCCTGCTAAACACCTCATAATGTTTAGTACCTTTTTACCCTTCTCTATGATATGATCTATGTGATTTCCCCAAGTTAATTTCTTATCAAACACTACTCCCAAAAAACAAAAATAATCAACCCTTTCTAACTCTTTTCCGTATAATTTTAACTTTTTATTAACTCCGATCTTTTTATTTGTGAAATACATGACTTTTGTCTTTTCAACTGAAAATCTGAAACCCCACTCTATTCCCCACTTACTTACTTTATCTATCCCTTCCTGAAGTTTTAAAATAAGATGTTCCACATTTCTTCCCCTTTTCCATAACGCTCCATCATCAGCAAAAAGTGATTTACCATAACTGAAAGATAAATCTTTGAAAATATCATTAATCATAACTGAAAATAGTGTAGGGCTTATCACACTTCCTTGAGGGGTTCCATTTTCTATTTTACATTGTTGTGATATATGCGATCCTATTTTAACTTGAATAGTTCTGTCACATAAAAAATCCTTTAACCAATTAAACATGTTTCCTCCTATTCCTGCCTGATGTAATTTAATCATTAACCCTTCTCTCCATAGCATATCGTATGCTTTTTCTACACCAAAAAACACAGAAACAACAGTTTCCTTATTAATCTGAGCTTTTCTAACATCGTCCTCTAAACATAAAATAGGATCCATTGCTCCTCTTCCTCTACGAAAACCACTCTGATAGTGTGTAATTATGTTTCTTGATTCTAAATAATGCATCAATCTCTCGTTCACCATCCTTTCCATCAATTTACACATACTAGAGGTTAAAGCAATTGGTCTGTAATTTCCAGGATTACCGTGATCTTTCCCAGGTTTCTTTATTGGGATAATAATTGCTTCTTTCCATCTATATGGTAGACGCCCTTCTCTCCATATCTTATTAAATAATATTAATAATTTATCTAATACTTTATCACTTAATTTTTTTAACATATTATAACATATCTCATCTTTCCCTGGTGCACTGTTCCTAGTTTTATCCAAAGCTCTTTTCAGTTCTCCCATAGAGAAAGGACAGTTCATCAGATTTTCATTAATATTCTCTTTTCTTCTTAAAGCTTCTACATTTCTTGATTTTGTTCTCTCCCTTCTCTGTTTTTCATCATCTGATAAATTTTCCCCACTATGTATTTCCACAAAAGTACTTGCTAAAATATCAGCCTTTTCTCTATCAGTTATTGCTATTTGATTATTTTTATTAAGTATTGGATAACTCCATTCTCTTCTGTCTCCCCCCATTTTTTTGATCATTCCCCAAACTTCCCCTATTTGTGTCCTACTACCAATTGTATCACAGAAGTCTCTCCAATATGTTCTCTTTGCTCTTCTTATTGTACTTCTTACTTTTGCCTGTGCTTTTTTATATTCAATTAGATGTTGAAAGTTATGGGACCTTTTGACCAGCTTAAATGCTTTATTTCGTTCTCTTACTGCAGTTTTACACTCAATATTCCACCACGGAACTAACTTTTTCCTATTTTTCCCTGAAGTCTTTGGAATAGATTCCTCAGCAGCTGATAAAATGCTATGACTAATCTCTTGACTCATTCTTTCAATACTCCAGTCATTTTGAGCATTTAAAAGTTTTCTTTCACATAAATACTTATATTTTTCCCAATTTGCTTTCCCAAATATCCACTTTCCCCCTACCATTTCAGGAGTCTGTATCTGACCCATCCTTATATTACTGGTTATAATATAATGATCACTACCAAATGATTTATTTCGTACTTGCCATTCACATAATGGAACCAAGCAGCTAGATACAAATGTTAAATCTAATACAGATTCCTTACCAGAATTAATATCTATTCTTGTCTTTGCTCCATTATTCAAACATACAAGATTTTTATCATCCAAAAATTCTTCTAATATATTACCATTATAATCTATTTTCTCACTCCCCCATAGTGAATGATGTGCATTAAAGTCTCCACACCAAATAATATTTCCTTTCATACCCATCTCCTCCAGTTGACTTAATTCTATCTTTTTGCAGGGATTGTAAAAATTTATAATCATTATTTCCTTTCCTTCTATCCATATTTTAATTGCTACATATTCTAAGTCTCCTTTCCTGTCAATTATTTTATATGGAATACCTTCTTTAATCAAAGAAAGACACCCACCTCCATTTCCTTCTTTTCTATCAAATCTAACTGCAATATATCCATAAACTCTAAAGTCTAAAGAATCCTTCAAACCGTTTCCTGTATACAGATTATATCAGGTTTTTCTGTCTGATCACAAATAAACTGTTTAAAATCTTGACCATTTGACAAAAGACTCCTTGCGTTCCACTGTAGGATTAGGATTGTGATAAAAATGAGCCACATGATCCTTCTTGACTTGCTTGGCTACTTAGCTCTCCCCTTACATCTTCCCATCGGATGTTCTTCATATCTAGACTATGACAAGCTGCCTTCACAATGATCTGAATTCTTTCTGTCTTAGACTTTACATCTACTGTTGCATTTATTACTCCTGCAATAAAAGTCACCATCTTCTTCTTCTCTTCATCTATTTTCCTTTCCACCATTTCCATAACCTTTTGGATTACTTGTTTCTCCTCTGTCACAGGTTTTCCATATGATTTTTCTTTTTCAACCATTTTACATGCTTCTGCATATGTTACTTTCTGCATGACCTTTGTTTTCTGCACAACTGTTTGCTGCTTCATCACTTCACACCCCCAGAAAGCAACGCTATGCTCTCCTCCACAGCTGCAGCATTTTGGTTTGACTCCAGCTCCACATTTTCCATATTCATGATCTCCAGAACATCGGGCACATCTCCTTTTTCCTTTACACAATTTAGCAATATGTCCAAATTCCTGACAGTTGAAACATCTCACTGGTTTAGGTATAAACTCCCTGACACTAAACCTTATCAAGCCTAAGAAAACGTCCTTTGGCACGTCTTTTGTTTCAAACTCCACCAGCACAGTTTCTGTTTCAATTTTCTCTGGACCTTTAGTCATTCTTCTTGCTCCTTTTACTTCTTTATTTCTTTGCTTTAGATTCTCAACCAGATCTTTCATATTTACATTTAAAGGTACTCCTACAATGACTCCTTTACTTCCATTATTTCTTTTTTCACCTACTCTTACAACAGTTTTAACTTTAACTTTGCACACCCACCCAATTTTCCTCGCTTTTTCCACCTGAACTTCCGTATTGCACCCAATCAGAAGAT